AACGGGATGATATACCTTGGAGAAGAATGAGAGTAAACTAGCTATTAAAGTGACAGTGCAACTAATTAGGGGTTCTCAGTAGATGAAGAAACGGATGGAGCTTATTTGGAATGGGTTACCTTCCAAAGTGTGGAAAATAGAAATTTGAATACACAAAATAAGAAGATCGAAAGAGAATATGTGTAAAGACCATAATTAAAAGTGGAGACCGTTCATTAAGGTGCCTCGAAGAGCCTCGGATTTAATGGACAGGGTGAATTAGTTCGAAATTGGAGGACCACAAAAGTAGATTGAAGTATTAAATAGGCGGAGTTTGTAATCTAATCTAAACAGAACGAACACCCGTGCTAGGTCGTGTTGCTCCGTACCATTCATAGAAGCAACTAGAGTGTATAACTGAGAAGAGGTTACAGAGAAAATCTAGGAGTATATAAGGTGGTCAGCAGCATACTGAATTCATTCTTCCAAGGCTCCGTGTGTAGGAACCTGGAAGTTTCAAAATTATTTTTCTGAATATTTCTATACCCAGATAATTAAGTCTCCGAGAAACGAAGAGGTAAGTGAAAAACTGTTGTTCCATATTCATGCTTTTGTTTCAGAGTTACTGAATAAAGCATGGAAATTTTCAATACTGGTTAATTTTTGAAAAGGAACGAGTCAATGGCCAATCAGATGATGGTCGAACAATCATCTACCTGGTTTTCAAGGTCAGTTACCCGGAAGTTTCACTAACTTTAGGCAGGGTTTTTAGTGTCTCAAAGCTATGTATGGCAGCTGCAGTTCTACCAAAAATATGTAACTTCTTGACATTCAAGACACCCTCTGACAGAATCAAAACTAGTGCTGTACAGAAAAATTCGAACTTTTTTTCGGGTTTATTTTTCATATATTGCATCTAAATTTCGAAATCAAGAGGATTTTTTTTTGGAAATCTTGCAATCAGTAAAACCACAGGGAGATAAAATTTGTGATATGGTTAGCTCCGAGTCAGGTGCTCAGCCTTCTTTTCTCCGCTCAAAGTTTTCTCCGTTTTTTTCCAATTTTAGCATGTTTTGATTTATATTTTCAGTTTTCACAAGACAAAAAAAATGAACACTCTTCCGCCAATTCAAAATGTCAATCCAAACCGTGTATTCTGGCGGGTCCGAGTTGCACGAAGGATACAAGAACAGTTTGCAGCTTTCCACAACCATCAATATTTCAGAGGATTCTCCGAGTAGGTTAAAACAACTTCCGATGGGCCAAATAATCCTCTACCAGGCGGTTCCCACTATGTATCAAAACCAAAAATAAAACGGTTCCAACGCAAATTACAATTTTGAAATCCAAACTTTTTTGATAAATTTGGACACTGCATATTCTTGAAAAAAGCAGATAAAAATCCAAAACTTTTTCTTCGATTTTCATTTTCTACGAAAACTTCCAAAATCCATTCTTTTTAAGTTTTGAAAACTCAGTAACGTCCGGAAAATAATATATTGCAAGAAAACATAACGTTTAAATTTTATAAATTGTTTTCATTAAGTTTTTACAATTTCTGGGAACTTCCAAAAATTTCAGAAAACCTCTCGACGTCCTCGGATTATCAATTAAGTGGATTTTTCTATCCAAGAAGCTTCAGATACCCCATAAGTTTTTCTGATATAAAAATCTTCAATTCCAATAATAAATAAATTTTCGTTAGTCATCTTTCCAATGCTCCTTTACGGATTTCGCCGTATTCTCTCTCACGGCAGCTAGGCAACCAAATTTTTGGATTAATCTGGAGTTCCAAGTCATTGGTAACGTATGTACATCAATCCTCTGAACAGAGATTCTCGTCACCTTGAGATGTTCGACAACGTCTGAAATGGTATTTCAGTCTTTATTTCGAGAAGAGTGATAGCTTCACTAAAGCTAATTCAAACTCTACTGATGCTATAGTGTTCTACAGACCCACAAAAAAGAAATTTTCTTCACCGTGTTCATTGTCCTATTGTTCAAATAAGTCTCCAGAGTATACATTTTTATGAGCCTGTACTGCAGTTAGCAAAGATGTCCTCCGTCTTCTTCACCTATCTCGTCTTCAGATCACACAAGATTTCCAAAGGTTCTCCCTCTACATGCTGATCCTACCTGGGAACGCCCACCTGGGGAGTCCCTATATAAGGTTCCAAGCGATGCAGAAAAGATGCCATTCGATGTTCACTCTTTGAATTGTTTTAGGCTGGTTTAGGCTGTTCTAAATCAATCTGTGGCTTTACCAAGAGTGCATCGATGTTTTGATGGAACCCCGATTGGGATCCTTACCCCTGTGTTTGATTTTTCTAATAATTCCTATTCTTTTAGTGAATAACCAAACAATCTGAAAAAGCGATTCTGGAATGAAGCAAAAAAAAAAAACAAAAACCTACACTTTTCTGGTCTGAAACTTTTTTCCCAAACCATCGCGAGCATCTTTTGTTTAGATTGAGAATCTCGGCAAGTCGTTGCTTCGATGACAGTCGCTCGGAGCCCATCGTTTTCTCTTACAATATCCACAGAAATGAAGCTAATCCTCTGAAACTGGAGCTGCGGGAGAAGTCTAATGTGTTATATTTCCTTTTCCAATTGGTTCCACAAAACGCAGAAAACCTATGGGGAGCACTACCTAACTGGAACTATTGGGAGCACTACCTTATGCCGGTGCACTACCCTATGCAAGCACTGACATCATTTTTTCCTGCTCCTGCATGGTATCCAGTTCCAACAACCTCAACCAACAAGAAGTCATCAGTATGCATAGAGAAGCGGTGGAATATTGCAACAGTTACCCGATATACAAAAATGGTATGCAACGAATTTTGATAATATTGAAAGAGTTGGGGTGTGCATTCTGACGTGGTGCAGAACAGTGTTTAGTGTACACAAAGCGCGTTCTCATTTTTCAGCTGCCTCAGCTTGCGATACCGTTAAGTTGGTTCCGTTCAGTTCAGATGGTTGCTGCGCGGCACTTTCATCTTTGGATTCACAAATTCGAATTCTCGAGGGGCTTATTTAAACGAAATTTGGGAATTTTTTTCATGTCTCCCCACATTTGAGTCTAAAAAATCTCCAACTTTTTCAGTGAATCGCTTCCGGTACCTTTTCAACACTTACAACTCAAGCATGCATCAAATAGTGAAGGTGTATCACCCAAAAAACTCAATTTTTTCTTTTCAATAATGAGACTTAATCTTTTCAAGTTTCGTTACGTAATATTCGTGATGAACTACATTTTGAAATCTGAATCATGTTTTGAAAAATAATGATCATTTTTCACCGCAACAAACAGAGAAGATGGTTGTCATTCGTGAGCCAACATACAACTAGACTGTTCACTATGGTGATTTTAGATCAAAAAGACTGGCGTCCTCGGCCTAAGGCCGACTCCGCTAGGCGCGGCTATGCCGCGCAATTAGGTGGAATCAGATTCAGGGCCTTCGGCCCTGGCTCAGTGGAATCAGTTGGTTCATATTTTACTGTTCTCCCTTCGCTCGCTCCGCTCGCTCAGGTCAAACAGACCTTCGGCCCTGTAACATGTGCCCCAAAACAATTCATTAATTTTTCACCTATTAACTCTTTTAATTTTCAAGCAAATCCAGTTTTCTTTTTTTAATTGTAGCTATCAAAATTACGCATCGAATGGGAAAGCCGGATTTTTGATTTAGGCCCTAGTTCGGCAGAAAAAACTGGAAAACCCGAAAAAAATCGTATCCACTTGTACGTTGATTATAATATCTCGGTTCAAAAAGTACAACATTTGACGATTTTTGGTAACCGCGTAGCCAGAGAGATTTGCTATCGATAAAAAAAAAAGATTTAACCAAAACGGACTGAAATGAACCTAGTTAGGAGCTTTCAAAGAAAATTTCTACAAAAGGTCAAAAATGGGGGTGCGCGATCGCTACCATATTTAAGGGAAGAAGGGGGCGCAAAACTGACCTCGATCTAGCTGCTTCCAGACAAGAAAAATATGAATAAAATGGAGGCATGACTTCAGAGGAATTGTTCCACTTGACATAATAAAGTCAAAGAAGATGAAAATGGCGCTGCGATGCTTCTGGTTGTTGCTCGACTTTCTGAAAAATAAACACTTTTTGGTGATCTGTGGGAATTCATTATTCAAGTTTTATTGGATCTGTGATGGTTTCTGTATTTCTTAAGAAATTCAACTTTGGATAGAATATCAACAAAAGCATCTGGATGTTTTTCCCACTAGATGGTAGAGTGTTACAGTAATCGTTGTTCGTTTACTGTTCACCGCTAATATTCACGAAAGTGTACCCGAATAACATTTTCAATTATATCAGAGATTAATCCAAAATCTATGCACACAGCACTAGAAGTCTATTATGTGTGGTAAACTCCAAATATGTCATGAATGGTACCTTTGAAGAAGGATGAAGAAAGAAGAAGGAGAAGAAGGAGAAGGACGCAACTAGCTATTAGAGTCCCAAGGGGATGGTGTGAGGGATAGAACTAATTACCGTTCCAAACCGACCACCTTCCAAAACGTGGAAAATTGAAATATGAACACACGAAAAGAGGGTATCGAAATATGAAATTGGTGGGGACCGGATTTAGAAGCGGACACCGTTCATTATGATGCCTCGAGAAACCTCCAATTTGGAATTTAAGGACCAACAAAGTAGATTAAAGTATTAAATGGGTGGAGTTTGAAATCTAACTCCAAGCAGGACGTACATCCGTGCCTGGTCGTACTGCTCCGTACCCGTCACAGAAGCAACAAGTGTGTATGACTGAGGAGAGGTTACAGAGAAAATCTAGAAGTATAAAAGGTGGTCAGCAGCACACTAAATTCACTCTTCCAAGGCTCCGTGTGTAGGAGCCTGCAAGTTTCAAATTTATTTTTCTGAATATTTCTTTATCCTAATGATTTGGTCTACAAATGGTGAAGAAGTGAATGACAAACTGTCGTACATTATTCATGATTTGGGTTTCAGAATGCTGGTTAATTTTCTTAAAGACGATTCGAGACAATGACCAACCAAACACTTTTTAAAAGAGTAACCTTGCTCTCGTTCTCTCTATGGTCACCGGATGGCTCATGTGTGGCAGTTGGAGGAAAGGCTAACCAGACAATTATTTTCTTCTCTAGCCGGGACAAGATGAGAACTGTATTTCTGAGAATTGACGAAACATAGTGAACTTTTGACTTGGGATTCTTCAGGAAATGATCCTACCCGGATTTCAAAGTCGTGTATTTTTAAATTTCGCAAAATCTCAGGCATATCTAACAGATTTTTCAAGAGCCGAAACGCTAATTTTGAAATGAATAACAATTATTTTTCCAGAAATCCATGCACTTCTCCAGCACACCTTTCCCAAATGTGACGAAATGGTCAGGATGGCTCCACTACATGAATCTACCAAAGAGAATTACGCAAGCACATGTGAGTGATCATAAGGGATCGAGGCGATGGGAAAACATTGAATACTTTTTAAATCTGGGTGCATTCTATGGGTGCATTGATCAACTGCGTCAAATTAAACGATTCTGAAAAGCCACAGCTTTTAAGATCTCAAAGCTACGTATGGCCGTTAGGGAATTTAAAGTTTTGACTCTATTGAAAATTTTTGAAACTTTTTCGAATTCAATAAAAATCTGTATGATGCGAATACAAGGCGAAGTTCAAAACTCATCGAAGTTATTCGCGGAATCATCCAGAAATTCTAGTGATTTCATATGGAACACAACTGAGAGACTCTAACCATGGCTCAAAGGGTCTGGTCTGATTTTTTATTGATTTTTAAAATTTCCTAACTATCCTCTACTCCACGTTTTTCAGTGTCATGTCACACCCAATTCTATTCGACAATATTGCGAATACCGACCCATAATGCATCCCTCCACGACGTGCACAACGCGAGGAAGCTATGATGACTAATTTGAAACGGGCCGGGATGGGTGTCGGATGGGCAGCACGTCGCGAAGTCCATAAAAGACAACTAGGAGATGTTGAGAAACATCCCGGAAATCCCAACATGAGCTCTAGAGAAAAAAAAACACAATTGGTGGGATGTCAGAGGTATTAAGCAGAGTTTTGTAAAAAAGGCGCCTACATGACCTGTGATGGTTCAAACGACAACATAATGGCCAACTGTCTCTCTCGAAATGGATGTGATTTGAAGGAGTTGAGAAACCAATTATGTGTGCACTTCGGTACGGTCACTATCTACTATGATCAACGTCGTTTTGTTTTTCATGAGCTGGTCTCGGAAAAAGTGTGAGCTACAGTGATATGATTTTACGTTTACGAATTTTACAAATTTTATGAATTTTAGAGCCTTCATTTGGATTTCTCAAATTTTTATCTTAATCAAAGCTTTCGACCAATAAACATTTCAAAAATTAAAAAGGTTCAATCTACTTTTTCTCAAAATGCATTTTCAGAACCTCTTCCACAACCTGCTTCGCTGCCCTTAAGTGCAATAATTATCAACAGAAAAACTTCAACTTTCTTATTCTTTCATAATAAATGATTATCGTGGAGTTACACTAGAAGAGTCTATACTTTGCCCTCTGCACTAAAAGTCGTTTGCTTTAAAAAGTCGCTTACCTCGAGAAAGCTGCACATTTCAATAATCCATCTGAGACATTTGAGCCAACATTCCTTGAGCATTCTTCGAGCGCCTGCAACGTCCTCTTCCATTTAAAGTCCTGCTTCTAAACCGCATTTCGTATTCGCATAGCTTCCTGCCCATCTACTAGACAAATTCGCCACTGCATTTTTGCGTTCGACATGTTCTGCAACGATTTCAACTATTTTTTTAGCATCTCTCGGAATTAAAACTTACTGTAACACTGACGCGGAGGCTGTACTTGATCACATCAAGTTTTAGTCTCAGCATACATTTTCTTTGGGAGTTCCTTGGGATCATTGGTCGATGCTCGAGTGAAATCCTCTGTTCAATCTTCTGATTCTTCTCAACTTGATTCCTTACACGTTGTTGGCGGGCAAGTATCTGAGAGCAAAAGCAAAAGGGAAATCTTGAAAAGTTTACAATGCTTATCTGAAACATTGCGAAATTAGACATAATTTCTATGAAAGGTTTACCTCACTTTTCTCGATGTTCGTTTGTCCAATTCTCAGACTTTGTTTTCATTTGTACCAAGCAAGTTATGATTCTGTATCAAAACTTGCTTCTCAATCGGATTCATTCGCTCATTGTGTTTCGCAGGCATGTTCTGCAAGGTGGCTTCGGCATTTTGCTAGAGTTGGATCAGGAAATCTTTCTCTTTGAGTTGGTGATAACGTTCACACTTCTCTTTGCGCGGTCGTTTCTCCTTAGCATCCATATCGAAGTCCAAGATTTGTGTCAGGTTGGTTAGCTCCGAAATGAATTTTTCTGGATTGTTCATCGACTAGCTTGATTCACTCTGTTTTAATTTCTTGCTCCGTCGAAGATCATGGAGTTGTGCACTCTAAAATTGTGATGGATAAGGGGTGTTAATTATCACGTAACTGCAACTTCTTACCAATGAACCTTCTTTAACTCCAAGCACATTATTCGTTGTCGAAGTCATTTGAGGAAAACGATGTGATTGTTCTGACAAACTAATTACAATTTGCATGTTGTGAAGCTGCTTTGATCTTGCTGGTGTCGATGTGGCGGACACTGTGAGGTCAGATTTTCAGTCGCAAACGTTGAAGCTGGAGAACATATCGTGTGTTGACTATTCGAAGACAGTCTTCTATTGTCCAGCACAATGGTTTGGCAACGACGGTCGTTCCTTACTGATTCTCTTTGACGGTTCTCTTCCTTCGGATAACGCTGATTGTCTCGGTTTTGGGCTCGATGTGTTAGACAAATGATTTTGAGATTTTGCATGAGCAAAAGCATGCTCTTGCATTGTGGAAGTGACTTTTCTCAATTGTTGCTTTGAAACAATGTATTCCGCATGGTCAGCTGGCTCGAGCTTTTGGAATGAAAGGTTCACAGACTTCTCGAACGATGATGATAATTCGGATGTGGGAGAGATCTGAAAATGGACTTTGAAAATTAATCAAAGTAGAAACAGTGCAACTTACATCACAGTTGTGGACTCAAAGTAGGTTAGATTCAATTCGCCATAATTGTATCACAAATAGAATTATAAACACTAGAATCAGGATTCTGCTCTTTTTGTGGAGACTGACGTCGCGAGTGTCGTGGCGATTGTCGTGACGATTGACGCTCTGATCATGGAGAATCAAAACAGTTGAACTCTGTTTGTGGTCCAGCGTCGTGGTGACCGATGATGGTATTGAGAATTTGACGGAGCTTTTGGATATTGGTGAAGGGGGACTGAAATGAGAGAGAATCGTTGTAGTGTGACATTTTGAGTGCGGTTGCATCTTAACGGCCGATTCATTCAGTACGAAGCTGTTTTGTGAGTCACGAACTCTTCTTCCTACTTGTAAAAAGCATCGTACACTTTTTTTTCGTCTGAGATGGCACTAAGAATAATCTTACCTTTGAATTACTGGAATTATCAGATTTTCCTTTTGTGGCAAGTGGCAGTTTGATCGTGGAGAATTGAAATAGTGTTTGGTGGTGGAGTTTCGATATTCGATTATAGTACAGGAACATTGAATCCCTTTGTTGTAGCTGGTTGGCGGCTTTCGGAAGCTGAGCTCTGAGTGTCTTCACGTCTGTGAGTTTTCGTATGATTCTGTCACCGATTCCTCATCTCCATCAGTCACCAGCTTTTCTTGAGCATCAGCGTTCATTTCTATGAGAAGATCCATCATCATCTTTTTCTTCGATTGAGCACTGTTGAACCATGGATGCTCAAATATTGCAGCTGCATTTGGTGGATATCGTGTAACCTTCACTAGACATTCCGCCAAAAAATATTAATGTTTGGTCCAGTGTAATGGGTGGAGTAGGGTTCTGAAATACTGAAAATTTGGTTTCGAGCTAATATTGGACTTGTCTCTTCATTATAGAAGGAGAAGCAATTGTTTTTCATCAGAGTGATTATCATGTAAAGAATTTTCATGTTTGAAATTGATTTTTCCTTCCAAAAAATGAAAAACTCACAGAAAATTTGTAGCAGCACCAGCATTGGCGTGAAAAACAGGTGTTTGAGGCGGAACATGTGGTTGAAGGAAACATTTGAAGCAATCTGAAACAATGAACTCTTAGTTTTAATGAGAAAATCGGATTTGATGGAAGAAAATCAGGGACATTGACTACGCGCACGAAATCTGCGACATTCGTGTCAAACGCGTCGAGAGGGGTGGTGGTAGGGTGTTCTTCGCTTGGGAATGCACGAGCTATGCCGTTTATAATGAAAGAGAGTCCGTTCGTGTGTTGGGAGAGTGGCCCCTCTGCACGCGACCATAGAACGTCGACCAATACAACAAATCGCCCTCGCTGTGTTGAAGACGAAAACGGGCGAGGGAAGATGTGCGCGCGTATCGAGAGGAAAAGGTCCGAGATGGCTGAGACAGATTAGAGGGATGACTAGAGTGTGCAAGAGATCTAGTGAAATGGATAGTTATTGCGGAGTCACGGAGTATGCTGTTTTTGGTGCAAACCAAAATCTTACCTATGAACCTTATATTCTTTGACTCCAAGAACATTATTTGTTGTCGAAGTCACTTGAGGGAGACAATGTGATTGTTCTGACAAACTAATTAGAATTTGCATGTTGTGAAGCTGCTCTGATCTTGGCTGGGTTCTGATCTCGGCTATGTGGCGGACACTGTGAGGTCAGATTTTCAGCATGAAATGTCACGAAAAATGAAGCTGGTGGACATGTCTTGAGTTGGCTTTCTGGAAACAGTCTCCGGTTGTCCATTTTGAGACAACGATCGTTCCTGAACGATTTTCTTTGGTGGTTTCCTTCGGGTGACGCTGATTGTTTCAGTTTTTGTCTCGACGTGCCAGGCAAATTGTCGAAGCGACATTTTCCAGCTGTTGTTCAGCAACAATGTGCTTCACATGGTCAGCTGGCTCGAGCTTTTGGAATGAAAGGTTCACAGACATTCTCGAACGATGATGATGAGTCGGGTAGTGAAAGATCTGAAAATGGACTTTGAAAATTAATCAAAGTAGAAACAGTGCAACTTACATCACATTTGTGGACTCAACGAAGGTCTGATTCAATTCGCCATGATTGCATCTCGAATAGAATCCTAGACACTATAATCAGGCTACTGCTCTTTTTGTGGAGACCGACGTCGCGATAGACGTGACAACTGTCGTTGCGAGTGACGGATCCTGAAGAACCAAAATAGGTGGAACTCTGTTCGTCGTTCAGCGTCGTGGTGAGCCTGTCTAAGATGCTGAGAGCCTCACAAGGACTGGCGAATTCGTTAGCACCCAATGATGAGCTTTCACTGCTGTTTCCGCTGAGAACAGCAGATGTGGAAAGGTGCACATTGCTCTTCTTGGATCATGGTGTCGAGATATCGGCGTTTCCCTTGGAGATGATGTTGCTGTTGGAGATGGAGAACTGAAATGAGAGAAAATTGTAATAAGGTGACACTTTGAATGCGGCTGCATCTCGACGGCCGACGATTCATTCAGTACGAAGCTGATGTGGGAGACTTTTTGATTGTAAAGTGCTTCTTACACCTGTGTTTGTTTTCGTCTGTGATCACATAAACAATAATCTTACCTCTGCATAACTGGAATATCCGATTTCCCATTAATTTCGCATTTCCCATAAACAGGCGACTCCTGTGCAGATTTGGCTTCTTGTGGAGGTGGAGAAGCTCGTTTCTTGTGGGGTCAAAGCACTTCTTGAACATTAGTTTTCATATTTGAGAGAAGATCCATAATCATCTTTCTCTTTGATCGAGCATTGTAAACCCATGAATGCTCAAATATTGTAGTTGCATTTTGTCGATATCGTGCATCCTTCGCTAGACATTTCGCCAGAATTTCTCTGCATGTTTTGGTCCAGTGTGACAGTTGAAGTAGGGTTCTGAAACACTGATAATTTGGTTTCGAATCAATATCGGGCTTGTGTCTTTATTGTAGATAGAAAAACAAGTGTTTTCTATCCCCGTTTAACCACTTGAAAATAATTTTGAAGTTTGGAATTGATTTTTCTTCTCATAAATTGAAAAAAACTTACGGAAAAGTTGTAGCAACATCAGCATTGGCATGAAAAACAGGCAAGATTTGGTTGAATAAAACATTTGAAGCAATCTGAAACAATAAAATCTTAGTTTTAATGAGAAAATCGGATTTTTAAAAAAAAATCAGACGATTTGACTACGCACACAAAAGACGCGCCATGCACGCAAAATGCGTCAAGGAGGGTGTTCTTCGCTTGTGAATGCACAAGCTATGACGTTTTTAATGAAGGAGAATCTGTTCGTGTGTTGGGAGGGTGACCAATGCATAAAACCGATAAATCCGCAGATGACCCCAAATGTTTTAGGAGTGGCAGTATAGGAATGATGTTCGCGCGCATCAAGAGGCAAGGATCGAGATGGTGAAGACAGATTAAAGGGGCGACTAGAGGCACTGCACGTGAACAGGGAATGTTGGCAAGAGATCTGATGGAATGGATAATTATCGCGGAGTCATGGAGTATGATGTTTTTGGTGTTAACTCGATGTGCTTGAAAAACACAATGTAAAATTTAATTCGAATGTTTTCGCTTCGCGTTATCTCATCATTAGAGTGCGTTCGCTTAAAACCGCACACTTAGTGACTCTCTAAAAACCCACCAGGCAAATTATAGACCTTTCTATAGGAAATGAAGATTTAACGATTTTCCGGGCAAGTATTGACTTTTTCCTTCACTTTGAAGCAGTCAAGGTGAAAAAGAACTGAATTAGAAAGAATCACACTATTCGAAGTACAAGATTTTCTGGATTTCAAAGCATTCAAGTTTGAGGGAAACAGAAATATTAAGAAGATTGTGGGGTTTCAAATATAAATATTTCTGATTCTTTCGAGAAAGCTTAACACTAGTGCAGTTCGTCAAGACATTTCCTCCAATTTTTATCATCTTGAAGCTAAAAAGAACAGAAATTACTCTAAAATAATGGTAATTCTGACTTCCTGCCGATTACTATCAGGCTCTTAAAAGTTTCAAAAACAACAAGAGTTGCTGAACTTTGAATTCAAGAAATGATGATTTGAGGGGGATTTTTTAATTTTTGAACATTAAAACTCACTGATTTCTTCCGTTTTTTGTTGCTAGCATTCGACGTGATCAAGGTAGATTTGTGTTAGAGGTCCACGCAGAACATATTGGAATTTTATTGAAGCGATAACAAAATCCTCTAGCTCTGAAGGAAGATGTTTTCCATTGATCTCCAATGATTTTCCTTGCCCAAGACGTCCGGTTTCGATAAGCGCAAGATTATGAAGAACATTCACCCATCACGATAGTGCATCGGCGCTCCTCCTGTAGACTGTTATCTGAAAACTCAATAAATGTTAATTGCATTTAATGAAAATCTATTACTCACTTTATGCCAATCTTGATCTTTTGAAAAAAATCATTTGGATAATCGTAAGATCCAACGCACGAAATCTAATCCAATCTTTGAATTTTTTCAAAAATGAGCACCGAAAAAACCGATTCCGCCGATGCCACCCCTAGAAAAAAACCGATTTCTGCCAGCCGCAAACCGATCCCAGCCGACATCTACTTCCTGATTCTCCATTAAATAATGCATTAGCCACCTAAAAGATTAGTTTTTTCTGCCGATTTCCCCTGCGCACATTTTGCCACGTTTCATAAGCAGTTATCAAAATTCTCAAAGAACCCTATTCATACTCGCTTGAAAATTGAAAAGCAACGGAAACTAGCCGACCATCATTGAGTTCCAAACAAGTTTGATAACGCTCCAGCCGGCCAAGACGTCGTTGCTTTTCACCATTCTTGCCAGAACATTTCGGTACGTTTCCGATTTCTTGCCTGAAAAGGCACAACTATTGTTTCAAAAAATTCAAAAAAATAAGATTGAAAACGAAAAAACGGACGGATAAGAAACTAAACAATTAGTATTTTGCATTATCTGAGAATTTATCTTATGTTTCGGATAAAAATGCATCTGAAAACTTCGAGAAAGGGGAAAACAGGAAAAAAAGATGCGAAAAATGGTGTGAGGCAATTTACGTTAAACTGTGCGCGCGTACGGAACATGCGGAGTGTCGTTGCACGCAACGCACATACACACACGCACACATGCATACAAACGAGAAGTGGGAAGATATCGTTTTCGCAGAAAAAAATGTGAGAAGAAAGAATAGAAGAAATAACAACTTATATAAATTAAATAGAAAACAAGGGAATGTCAAATTTTAGAGATAAATGTTATTTATAAAATTCAAATAATGATCGCCGCTAAAGAGTTCGGCTTTGCAAAAACGTGCCTATTCTGAAGAGATCTGAATTTCAGTTTTTTGTTTTTCCTCGTTATTTAGCTTCATATAACTGAACAACTGAGAAAGAAGAAAAACACATTCCAAACTGATCATTTCAAATTTCGGTCAAATATTTCCAGGTTTGATGTCTTGTCTAACGAGTAAGATGCCTGGAGGTTCTGTTCAACCATTGAATCAGTTTTCATTTAGAAAAACTTCTACACGTTCTTACAAGGAAACCTTTTAAGTGAAGGTAGGAGTCAGCAGAAACCACCTACATAGATTGAAAGAGCATGGTCGAAAACCTATAAATCCGGTTCCAAAGTTTGCTTACGAGCCCTTTGAAGTGCGCTGAAATTTCAGTTCAGTGCCGGAAATTCCATTTTCAGTGTAAAATCGGCAATTTTCAAACTTGATATTCTCCACTCCTAGGAGGTTTTAGGAGTCGAAACTTTTTTGTTTTACTTGAAATTATGCGGAATTGTATATTTCAAACATTTTCTGAAAAAAATTATTTTTGGAAAAGTTTGTGAAATTTTCTCATTTTTCGACAATTTTTTCAATTTTTTTTTCATTTCTCAAATTGTTCGGTGTTTTAATAATTTCTTTTGTTGAATTATTGTAAAAAATCTATTTTTGAGTGTTTCAAGCTATTATTCGATAAAAATCTCTGAAAATTTCGCTGAAAAGAAAATTTCGCTGAAAACCGGCTGTTCAGTGCAAAATTAAAAAAAATTTTGCCGCGCGCAACCGCGCTCCGCTGAGAAAAAGGGTTGCAGTTCCTTTTGGGAGCTTGGGAGACCGTGGTGGGCCCAAAAAAATTGTTTTTAGGAAATGTTGAAAATATCTGAAATATAAAATTTCACATAGTTTTAAGGATTACACAAACAAATTTTGAATCCTAGAACCTTTTAGAAGTGGAGAAAATCAAGTTGGAAAATTGCCGGCTTTGATCTGAAAATGGAATTTTTGGCACTGAACTGAAATTTCAGCACTTCAAAGATCTCGTAAGCAGACTTTGAAAACGAATTTATAGGTTTCCGACCATGCTCTTTCGATCTATGTAGGTTGTTTCTGCTGACTCCTACCTTCACTTAAAAGGTTCCCTTGTTAGAGCCCATTTATTTATGAAAAGTTATTTATATTTAGAAGGTTTCCTTTTTTCCAGACCCTTTTTTTGCTCTTCTTTCATCGTCTCGAAATTTTCTTTTTGCGTAAAATGGCCTCTTCCAATTGGACACCCTTTCCTTCGTTTTCATTTTTCTTTCCTGAACTCTACATTCCTTATTTTTTGCTTTTTCTTTAGAATTCTGCCAGCCCTTGCGATTTTTGTGGCCCGGAGAGTGGAGGGTGGCGGAGGTCATTAATGAATGATCTAGCAGAGACGCAGAGGAAATAATTGGGGGAAATATAGAGGGGTCCTCTTTCGTGGGTCAAATGACAGTTGGTCTGAAGATTGATAGAGTGACATAAGCGACCTCCGCAGAATTGCAAAACCCATCAAAAAATAGGAGGATGGGAAGAAATAGGGATATTGGGAAGATAGGGAAAAAACATATAATTGATAGTAACCATGTTCATCAAAAACTCATTTTTGTTCAAATTATGATATATCTCCATATGGAAATTGTGGGTTTTTAAACTCTTGGAAAAAATAAAATCGAAACCAAAAAACTTCTTTTTCAGATAACTGTCTTTAGCTAATGACAGGAGTCTATTTCCACTCGTTGGACTAGCTTCTTTTTATTATTTTTCCAACATTTTGAGGCAAATACTAATGCCAGCACATCCAGGGTCCTGCTCTACTAGAATCTTAAATGTTTCAGACGGTTTTCTTGTTTTCTCTAATTCCTTTCCGTGACATTATTTGTTTACGGTTTTTTTTCTAGGAAAGAGAGAGAGAGAGAGAGAGAGAGAGAGAGAGAGAGAGGAGGGAGCTCTCCCCCAGGCCGTCGACTCCACCCCCAGGCACAACTGATAATTTTCACTCGACTCAGCTAGACCTCCAACACAACTAACTTATCGCAAACCTTACGTTTTTTACTCGCATTTCAAGCAGCGAAAACTGCTGGAACATTCATCTTTTAACATTTTTCAATTGTTAATTTCAATATTTTGTTTTCAGGAACGTGAAAAACTGAACGGAAGAATGTTTGCTAAAAATTTGATCAAATATGCAATCTGGTAAGTAGTTGAAGATATATATTATACCTATTTTTTTTAATAAAACGCCACAGCAATACTTGCATTTTTTGCTCGGCTTTCATTTACTGTTCTAATTTATCAAAAGAAATTTAGGTAATTGAACTCAAGATGCTAGTATCAGGTGCTCTATTAGAAAAATATTTGAAAGTATGAAACATGTCAAAAACACCACATTTGAAAGTAAAGAAACATCTCTCAATACCACTAAGCTGGAGAAGTTTGTTGTTTTCTTTCGCGAGGATTTTATGTGGGTTCAATTTTTTTTCGTGAATTTCTGGCTACTTCTGAACGTCTTAAAACAATTTAATCTAAAACAGCTTTTAAATCGTATTTGATTTGGTATAATCTAGTACATGCAACATCACGTGTGAAGGCCACCATACCAAGCAAACCTCCTTTCTCTCGACAAAGTTTTCCGAACACTCGAATGAACAGTTTTTTTCTGAAATACCGTAAACACTCTAATAGAACGCCACCCGGACCTTCTACTCTGAGCCTATATATCTCACTTCTTTTGAAAGATATCAAATCGACAACATTTTATTGGTTAACTACTTTTTGATATCTTCAACAGAAAATGAGGTGCATGGGCTCCAATTTGACGATTCGGATGGCGTTTTATTAGAGTGTTTACGGTAAGTAGAAATTGAATTGAGAAAATTTTGAACAGAATTGAAAAAAAAGTATATTTTTGTCCAGAAAAAAACTACAACGCTGAACACTCAGAACATATATGTTGATTATTCGACTGAATCTTCAAAGTGGTAAGTGTTTTAAAGAAAAAAGTACCGAAAAGTCAACCAAATCATTAAAATTGTAAAAAATACTTCCTTTTTTAAAATATCGTTGTAAGAAAACAAAAACATATACAATTGTTCAAAGAAAAGTCAGTGGGAGGGATCTCGAGTGTAAAGGCTCGCCATTGGGTGAGGAAAAGCTACCGTATTCAGTTCAGAAATCTTCTTTGTCCGCATTAGAAAACTTTTTAATGAATGCCTAATCAGAGAATCCGAAGCTCTACTAGTCTCGAATAAGTAGGAAATTTGATAAGGCGCTGACAGTCAGACGCACTTTAGGTTTCAGCAATTTTCAAAGAGTAACATACATGACTAACTTTACAAATCAATTGGGAAACAAACATCTCATTAATTAAAATCTGTGGGTGAGCGTCCTCAATCTCCAATTTTTGTTGGATTCACTATTCTACTCAATTCTATTTGAAAATAGTCTTCCAAAAGTTGCTGCGCTGACCACGGTTTTTGTCGCATCTATCGCATTATAAAATAGAAGCAAAATGCAAAAAATCTAATTCCCATGAAAATTGTAGTCAAATTTCATGAACAGTTTTGGTCCCTTTTCAAATGTCATTCTTTCTCTCCTTCCTATTTCTGTTTTCTGGTCAAAGCATTTTCAAACTCTCTATGCTTCCTCTCCGTTTTTTTGTTGGGCAGGCAGACAGCTTCTCGGTGCCGACTGCCGACAGGAGAAGGCTCTTGGCACCAGATGCATTTTTGAACACTTTGTCTGCTCCTCCTCGTAAACACATACTGCTCTTCAGTGCCCACACTTTTTGAGCTTTGCTCCACGAAAAAGTGTCTGACTTTTTTCAATTCTTTTTGCTTTGTGAAGGAGCCCCATTTTCTGCGTCGCTTAGTGTCCGCATGCTCTTTCTGATGTGCCGGTTCTGCTCACGGAATGCGGAAGGGATTAAACATGTAGTCTTCAGCTTTTCTGGCGTCGGCACACACTTTTTACGGAGAATTATGAAAAGTGAATGAGATAGGATAGAACTGTTCCATAGAAGTGTGTTCTCTTTTTTGTGAAAAGAGTAAAACTGGTTGTTCTTTCAGGAAAAACAAAAAATCTCATGAAAAAAAACTGATGAAATATAGGCTTGGAAAACAGTTAGTCTAGAATTTCTTTATATGAAAAAAACATCGCATCGCATATGTCTATCTTTTTTATAATACAAAAACAGTTCAGGTGAGAAAATCTGAATTTTAAAAAATAATACAAAATGCAAAATATTATTACAGCGAAATTCGAGCTAATAAGTATAAAGAAATCTGACGGTAAAAAGAAAGTTAGTTCTAACTTGAACCGAACATCATGGAAAGATAATTAACTGACAACAATTGGTCCTTGTGCCCAGTCAAAGAATTCATAAATGTCCATCGGCGAGCAAGTTTTCTCTTCATTATTCTCACAAACATCTGTCCTTTTTGTGCCTGCAGCAATGCAAACCTGTGGCTGGCAGCCTTTCTTCACCGGTTCCCAATAAACAAATCTATCGCGGAAAAGTCGCTCGTGGGGAGTCACATCACGCCCGAGTTGGAAATGATAAGTCAGGCAATTCCAAGGATAATTGAACCATGTCTCGTACCAATTCATAGACACATCTTGGAACTTGAGATCGTCCGTACTGAGAACAGCTTCGCAGGTTGTGTAGAGAGCAGTTCCACTGGAAAAAATTGTCTTGAGCTTCCATAGTGGGGAACCAACTAAAATTCAGGTTTTCTTAATAGGCTTCTCTAGCAACAAAAGTATAAATCTTTGTCCACCAATAGTATCAAACTTTGTCGTTAGGGACCAATTAAATACTTTGCGTTTTGAAAAACAAGGTCTGAATCAAGATTATTACGTATAAAACAAATATTCAGCTATTTTGAATGTGCTTTTCACATTCATAGACAAGGCGGAAAATTGGAAATACTGTAAACTTCTGTGTTATTGATCTTATGTGATTTGTAAATGATTTTACTCAAAACTGAAAATGCTCCCACTAATTAACGCAAGAATATTCTAAAAAAATAAAGCCTACTTCTGGAAGTTGGGAACGTCTATTTCCAATTTTGGAAATCATTGTTCAAAAAGTTGCGTTTGGCCGGGTCCCTTGCAATGATGAAATACTTGTATTTTCGACTGATAGTTTTGCTGAAAAAAACAAATCTTCAGGAAATATTGAACACATTCTTACCGTTAGTCAATAACCATGAATCTGTTCATCACCTCCCTCCACCAAAGCCATTGCTTGGTGGTGCAACTGGTTAGTCCGGATGCAGGACAAACCAACATAAACCAAATGGTATTGATAAGTAAGACTGAAAACTGATACTAGTAAGGACAATGTTTTTTTTTTCTTAGTACTCACCAGTGATGTGATTTTACGTTTACGAATTTTACGAGTTTTACAGATTTTAGGGTTTTTTGGCACTCGTAAAATTTTACGAGTGTCGTAAAATTTATTCCGTAAAATTCGTAAAAACTGGATGAGCGTTTTTGCCGTTTTTTTGTCCAAAATTGACAGTTTTTAGATCCATTATCATGTTTTGGTCTATTTTTGAGAAAATCTTTTTCACAACGCTCATTTTTGAACATGAATTTTCGTTATTTTCAAACTATTTTGATGAAGTTTTTGAAGGCTTCTTTCCCAATTTCGAATTATTTAGAAAAATTTTTTTCAGAAAATTGTTGAAACTCAAGAAAATCATTCGATTCTACGGTTTGTAACATTTGCACACCATCTCTCAATAGCTTATTGATGAAACTGCTTTTTTCCATTTAAATAGAAAATACAGTACTTTTTTACGAATTTTACGAATTTTACGATTTTACGAGTTTGTTTTTCGTAAAATTTTACGTTTTACGAATTTCGTAAATTGAAAATTTCACGCACATCCCTGGTACTCACTAATCGTGTTCGAGAGCAGCAGCAAGACGGCGTTCTTCCAGAAGGGTGGTGTTGGGATTCGAGAAAAATGATGGGAAGGGTGCAAGCTTAAATGTTACTGGCTAAGTTGAGTCAGCATCGGTTTTATTTATAAAAACCAATATGACAAGGACAAGGAATACGGTTTCATTCTGAAAATTTAGTGTTTAATCAAGATTAGTTAGGGCCAGGGCTGTCCAAAACGACGGCCGGGCCTCGGCCGGCCTCGAAAAAGCCTCGGCCGAAGAAAAAAGGCCTCGGCGCGCTCCATTGAGAAAAAGCCTCGCGAGGCCTCGGCCGGCCGAGGCCGGCCTCGCAAATGTGACTACGGTCAGCAAGTCGCATATTTTACGACAAGTTGCGTATTTTTTTTAATTTTTTGTTTTTTCTCGCTCTTTTTCAGCAAATCACGCATTTTTCGAGAGTTTTCTCGATTTTTCCATCGATCTGTGGCGACATGAACATTTCGAACGCCAGTGATGGTCGGTTTAAGCCGATTTATTCATTTGTTATAACGGTTATTCAATTTCAGACACAATTCAGATGCCTCAATGGTTCATTGATCCATATCGAAAAAACGAGAAAACTCTCAATAAAATGTGTGATTTGCTGAAAAAGAGCGAGAAAAAACAAAAAATTAAAAAAAAAACGCA